TTTACAATTTATGCAATAGTATGATGAAAGTGATTTTTGATTATAAATGATTCACTGAATGTAGCCACAGTTTTCCAAACATAAGCTGTGTTGTAAAATATATACCAAACAACAAGAAATAATACTCACCGAAGCAGCATGTACCAGAATGTCTGCCTACAACAAAGACGGCAAGGAGAAGTGTTATGCTCTCAGTAATTTATAATGCCATCAGGATGAGAGACAAAGAAGTATAAAGATGAATTAATATTGCCAGGTCACATAACATGATCAGTCACAAGACCAGATTTGTATGTTGGAAGTCCATCCATCACCCCTGACCTTGGCAGGGTCAGGAGGGGTGCTGGTGCTTATCCATGCGAACATTTCAGGCAACGCTGGACAAGTCGCCAGTCTGTCACAGGGCAACACATAGACAGACAGGACAAACAACCATGCACACACAAGGACAGTTTAGAGACAGTTCATTAACCAGTCAAGTTTTTGGACTGTTGGTGGAAGCTGGAGTACCCAGAGAGAACCAACTCATGCACAGGGAGAACATGCAAACTCCATGCAGACAAACCCTGGGCTGGGAATCAAACACAGGACCTTCTTGCTGCAAGCCAGCAGTGCTACCGACTGTGCCACTGTGCAGCCCTGATGTTGAAAGCCATTCTACATCATGTGGGGAATATTTAAGAAAGGATGATCATTTTCAAAGCATTGAGGATATATGTGTTCTCTGTGCTTGCTTTATGTTTTGAGACTTAATTATAATTTGAATTAATAATTTACCAAAACCAAATGCCTGGAGAAGCTGCCACTGTGGTGGTATTTAGAGAATGCTCTGAAGTTTTGTGATTTGTGCTTATTAATCAAGCAAAACGTGATTCTTGCTTGCTTATTGTCCACAAATACTTATTACATAAATAATAAAATATAATAACATAACATAAGAGGTAGATAACAATGATAACATTGTTTATGCCTGCAGGTCTGCTCACATCATGTTTATCTCTGTAATATAGATTTGTGGTGCATCTCTGACCTAAAACCATAATTAACACAGGAAGCAAAGGGATGCTATCTTAGCATAAGAACAGGAGATGTGACATATGTTGTTTGGTTCATAAATACTTAAATCCTCCTTTATTTTTTGTACAAAACTCAGCAATTCAAAACATTTGATTATGACTGTAATACTGTGTTTTTGGTTTGCTAAAACGGATATTTGATTAACATGAAACACTCTGTGTTTATTGCCTTTTTCACTGTTTAGAAAATCCACTTTTGTGAATCATTCAGTTCCCTAACTTTTATGCTTTTTGAAGAAAGGGTAACTTTCCAGCTGGAAAATGTCGAGATAGTGACGCAATCACAGATCAGCAGGGGAGCTCTGTAGGGCTCGATTTGGCAGTCTGTCATATACTGTGTTGTTTATATGCTCCATCAAAGGATTCTTGCCTTAAGAGACTCATTTTTCATCTCCCTGGTCTATCTGCATTAAAATTGTACAAATCTAAATTGTTTGGAGCATGTATCACTGGAGATGTGTGTGTGTGTGTGTGTGTGGGGGGTGGGGGGGGGGGGGGGGTGTTAGGGGTGTTCTGGATACTAGCTAGGTGTAGGTTAAAGGTCAGGTTAGCTCTAGAAATAAATGACAATGAACGGAAGTCAATTCAAAGTCGTTCTGAAGACAGAAATTCAGAACGACTCAATGTGCGTGTTTGTAAAATTTGTATAAATTCCAAAGCTGAAAGAGGGCATAATATGTATGGACTTGTAAACAAATTTGAATTAATTTCTTAGAGAAAATGATCCAAATTCTGTAAGAAGTATTTGAAACATTGCCCTATAACATAGTTTTTTTTTTCTGAGTTAAATATCAAGTTACCAGCCCTTCACAAAGATATAAAAAATGCACACAATAGTCTCAAACCAAAACAATTTTGAAAATTTCAAAACAGAGTCATGCTTCTCCTCACAAAAGGTCACTGCCAAGATTTGTCAGGAGCAACATCTCCATGCAGTTCTCAAAAGCAATTTTTACAGCCGAACATAAAGGTGTAGGTCAACATGAGGTATTTTTATGTTTTTTCAGAAAAATCTGTTTTACTGCACTATGAGTTAAAACGCATAGACAAAAAAAATAAACAAATTGCTGCTGTTATTGTGGAATGTAATTGTGGACTTTGTGTTTTTGTGTTTATGATGTAAAGCACTTTGAAATGCCTTGCTGCTGAAATGTGCTTTACAAATAAAATTTGATTTGATTTTGATTTTGGAATGCCACAATGGCAAAATTCTATAAATAAATGAAATGTTACATGATTATTAATATGTATTAAACACACTGAAAATGTCCCTTTGTCCTTTTCAAAAAGACCCTAATATCTTAATGGCTAACCTGCAGTAACCAGTTTAGTTCAGATCGTTCATGTTAGCTTGAATAATATTTGTTCCTACTACAAACCTAGATTAGTAAGGTCAATAGAATAATTAATAATTTACCTCTGCATGGGAATACATGAATAAGTAACAATATATTCAACAAGTTATGTGTCTATGTATTTCAAATTTTAGATAATACTTACGTAATATCCTTAGTACGTTTAGTTCTCAATAGATTTTAGCCTGTTATTAATATCCCTGTTCTACTAAGTTCACAAGCAGTTGTGAGTTTTATTGCATAGCAAGACCTCAAGTAATCTTTGGCTCATTTCAATTCACTGAGAAAAGGAGATAAGGGATTTAATGTGCTTTTACTAATCTTGTCACTGTGATTATAGCTCCAGGATGCAGCAGAAGCTGGATCAGCCATTTATGCAGAAAGCTTTGTACCATTGTTTGCTCCACAATGCCTGGCAGTGCGTCTATCTTTCAACAGTGTTGTTGAGAAAAATCTGCCTGACTTGTGGTAACAACGGCAATACTCACGGCTGATCTGATTGTAGTGCAGGAGCGCATACTTTCATCTGTAATGTGGAAAAACATCATGTAACTGGAGTTGTTATCCTGGAGATGGATCCTGACAGCCAACATAAGCTCTGCATGCTTTCGAACACACCTTGCTCTCGCTGCTGTTGTTGTTTCTTTGGCTCTTTGTTTTCCCTTTTTCTTCCTCCAACTGTCTTGATTCCCCACATTCATTCCTACAGTCTTTTTATATTTTCCTTTCTTTCCTGTAAATCCTTCCACCAGCCTTCTTGTCATCCTTTCCAACCACTTATCTCCCACTCCTTCCTCACTTCACTTTGGCTTCATTTTCTCTCCTTTCTCACCTTTCATCCTAATTCAATACCTTTCACTCTTTTTACACCTTTTATCACCATCTTCCTTACACTTTTATCCCCTCGTCCATCTTTTTCTTACATTATCAGTTTCTTCATCCAGCCAGCTTTGAGAGCCACATGCACTCCCTCATTCCCTGATCTGGAGAAGATAACTGATCCCACTGATGCTATTTTAAGCCTGCCATGCATACTCATCCTCCTCTTCCCTACCATGGAAAGCTGGCAGCCACAAAGAGAGACATGAAACGCACATTCTTCCCTCACAACAAGCTCTTCTCCTCCCGATTGAGACTTTGAAATCTGTATAATTAACCATATTGTCCAGGGATAAGCGAGCCTGGCAGCAGACTGCTCTCCATATGCTGATACTAAATAGATGATTTAATGGCCTTGAAGATTTGGTCTGAGGGCCTGGAAAATGTAATAGGCCTGCATTTATTAAGATTGAATCTCATGTAATTCATTGTTTGGAAAAGGTCATCCTAATTCCTGATCTATTCTAATTTCCAGATTATTGTTTCAAATCCCAGAGGGCAATGTTTGAAAAAAATAAAAAATAAATAAGTACAGATGTAAGGCATCATCTGCATTAACAATGAGTTATTTGTTGTTGTTTTTATGTGACAATTTTGGCAGGGTGACATTTTGAAAGTTGTTCAAGGCCATTTTTTAAGATAGTTTGGAGAAAAACTGATTATTGATGATCGGAACAACAAGTTAGAAAATGTTTCTGTGGTCTTCCAATTATCTGAGTTTGGGTCAAGGCTTAGTTAGCTAGTTAGCTAGTGGGGAGACCAGACTCATTCTGGAGAACTCCAAGGCATTCTCAAGACAGAAGGTGCATGTAATCATAAGCGAGTTCTGAGATCTCTGTCCATTGTCACAAACCCAGGAAACCCCCCAAGAGAGATGCCAATGAAGCGTCTTGATCAGCTGATGGAACTACTTCAGCTTATTCCTTTTAATAAGGAAGGGCAACATTTCTGTTTCAAGTTTTCACCATTTGTCCCAGCAGTTTGCTCTATCTCAAGGACTCAGTCCACTTGTATATATGTATAATTTTTTTGTGGCCTTTACTTAACAGTAATCTGACAGGAAGTGGGCAGAGAGAGAAAGGAAGAAAAATGTGCAGCAAAGGAATTGAGCATGGGAGTTGAACTGGGGATGGCGGCATTGAGGTCTGTAAGCTCTGTTTGCGATGCATCTGCTTTAATCACTGCACCACCTGACACCCCAGCAAGATGCTGTTCACCCACCTTTATTTTCATTGTTCTGATTACAAATATAAGGAGGTTGGAAAAGTGCTTGTTTTCTTGTTGCCATTTCCTGATGATCAAAATACATGTGTCACTTTTGAATGAAACATTCCTGCTCTTCCTCCCTATTTTTAAGACTGACCAAGAGAAAGGAGAAACTGTGCTACTCTATATTAATATTCTAAGGACATAGGATGTCCTGGTTTACTGATTATCTAAAAATGTTTAAATATAAGACTTTCCTTGAATTGAATATTTGAACCTGAAATGTTAGTGTTGATAAACATGATAGCACTTGTAACTTTCCTAAAAAAAAAAAAAAAAACTGTTTCCAAATAAACTCTAATTAATTTTTCTAAAATGTTCTTTGCATGATTGTTCCAAAGCAATAAACAGGGTTTTAATCAGTACATATATATTCATGATGAAAAAAACAAAAAACAAGTTTTACTTATGAGTAGCTGTATAGTTCATCTTGTTTATTGGTTGTACTCATACATTTTCAAAATGACAGCTTTTTATCTAAAGACTTTCAAATGAATTGTACTGTCTATAAAGGCAGACACAGAAACAGAACATAACACCTTAAATACAGAGCAACTCTCAGGACAGATGGCAAACTCTTTGAAATTCAGTTTTATTGTAGTGAATTACTTTTATCCACAGTTCAAAAGAAAAAATAAAGATTTTTAAAGACAGGATTATGAAATGCTACAGTTAGCAAATAATGTTTAGAAGTTCTATGATGATTTGTTGTGTAGAAGTTTCTATTAACATCAAGCTGGCCATGAGAGTTGCTTTGTTTTGCAGGAGTTCAGTCATGTTGCAGAGTTGTTTTATTAAGAACTTTATACACCAGCGGAGCAACAGCAACAATCGACACATTTGTGCTTATCTTTTTTAAAATGTTTTCTTTTCAGTCAAATATTTGTTTGTCACATACTCATTTCACAAGAACAGACTAATTTAAATCTGTCATAAGTTTATACCAACATGCTCACAATGTTTTGTTGCTTTTTTTCTTTTTGTAATGTGTGTCACATAAACATACATAAAAACACGCCCTTTTGCTTCAAACACATGACTCCAGGTCTGCCATTGTGATGTTGGAATATTGTGACTTGTTTTTGTGACTGGCAGCATAAACAAAGCGAGGGCTTCAGTCATGTGCTTGGGTTTTGTTTAAAGGCCATGGCCATAACTTTAGGGGAGAAAATCCGGTTGAGACATAAAAAGTGCTGCAAAAAACCATAAACTGGCAAACTTAACATTGGTTCAGGCTCTCCTCATTTTCAAACATCACATTTGTCCTAAGACATAAATTGCACACGCGATTTACTAATTTACATTAATCAGTATAATTTCAAGCAGAAAGAACCTCATATCAAGTCATGCGCTCAAACTGTTTGAAGATAGATATGAGTTGGGTCTGTGCTGATGTGCTGGACATGGATGCAACTCTTTGCTTTCAAATACTTCCCTGTTTGTGTGTTGTAGATTATTCTATACATTGTGCAAAAACAGCTGTAGACAATTCTAGAAGGCCACCAGGTGTCAAATGTCCGTTTAAATTTTCAATCATTCGTATGTTTGCAAATGACTTTTACTTTCAGCTGCATGGATGACCTTGTTTCTAGAATGTATAAAAGCAAAACAAAAACAAGAAGCAGCAGACAGAGTCAAGCAAACAGATCCTGGTAGCAGCATATTTTTTCTATTAAACATGGAGTGAAAATGAAATGCAAGAAAGCCAAATGGAACTTTGCAGTTTTATAGAGCCTTGCAAAATTATCAATACACCTTGATGTTTTTTCGCATTTCATCAGGAGACAACTGCAAAAATTAATGCATTTTTATGTAGACAAGTAGTGTTTAACTAGTACATACATGGCTTTAAAAACTTAAAGAAATTCAACTCTGAACAGTGTGGTGTGCCACTCCTTCCTTATTAAACACTTATCATAATCAGCTTTAAACATTTAGAAACTGAAATAATGATCCGTTTTCTTGATAGCATAACTAAAGCTTAGTCACATTGGATGGAGAGTGTTTGTGAGCATTACAATTCTCATTTACATTTAGATTTATTCCAAAATTACACCGATTGTGTTAAGCACGGTGTGTTCAGAGATTTTTTTTTTCCTCCACACACAATGTTTCCTAAACCTGGGTTGAGAGTGCCTTCTCCTCCTTCAGAGTTACTTTTCGCCTCTTTGGACTGAGTGCATATTCACACCACACTTTTCAGATTTTCATTTGTCATAGTGTATTATTTTACAATGAATCACTATTCTGTACAAACATACACAAATAAGTACATATAAGTTTGTGTTTGTTATGTGAAATCTGAAAATAATGTATAAGGGGTATTACTATTTTCTAAAACTCCATATGAGCGAAAAGCTATGCAACCTTTCTCTGAGAGGCAATCAGAAATCTCTCCCTGTAAAGTCATGTGTGTTTGAATCTTTATGCTTGTCTGATATGTGAATTCAAGCATTAGACAATATAGATTGAAGTTCAGATAACAGATCAAACTAAAATGAAGTGATTTTTAATGCAGTGATCAAATAATTGATCCTGAGTAATTTTTTTGTTGTGCTTCAGAACAAATGAACTAATATGTATGTTCGCCCTTTGAATTATTGGAACCATGTGTTTAATGTCAGCTGGCATGTGACGTTAAATGAGTCATATTGATCACATGTTTTATTTTATAATTCTATGAGCTTACAGAGAGTTTCAAAGGTACTGGCAGGAACAATGTCAAAAAAGTGTTCCTGTATTCAATATTGCTGACGATTCTGGGCCTCAGGAGAATAAATTTGATCCTTTTTCCTTCCCTTCTGTCTTGTGCCTGTATATTGATCAAAAAGTTAAGATGATTTTTTTTTTTCAAAAGGCCCTACAAAATATGTATTCTACTGTGGAAAAAACATGTGGATGCTAACAACATGAAATAGGCTCAACTTCTTGAATTTTAGCTTTACATTACTGTTTCATTTCATGCAGAAAGTACAACAGCAAACATGACTATTGAATGTAATGAGTTGTCACAATAACTCAACAAAATTATCCATTTATCCTTGTTGGTTTGAATAGACTTGGTTGTTGTTATTTTTTGTGCAGATTCTTCATTATTATTTTTCCCTGACAATGCACTTTCATTGCATTCCAACTTTACTTTTTTCCATGCAGTTATGGCTGCATAGTCCATGGCTGATGCTTTGGACTAAAATATAGAAGACCTTCTGATAAATAACTGTAAAACACGTTCAGCACCACACAATTTCTTGATCAGTTCCTGTTCAGCTTGAATTTAGTTTCACGTTTCAAATTTAAACTTATTTACGTACAACCTTTCAGATTCAAAAATGATCCTTTTTGAATAACTCAGCTTACAGAAAATGTGATTGTTGAAATATCTTAGTGATATTTGACTATTTCTGCAGCATTCAGAGACAAAAATGCTAACTGTTCCCTTTAATACTGTTGTCCTTACCAAATTACTGGAAATTGGTTGTAATTTACAGGTATGTAATTTATTTTCTTTCACCTGTGATGGTCAAGCATTACATTCCAAAACAAAGAGCGGAATACACATTTTAACGAACTACTGGATCACTGAGATAGCAGAGCAGCAGCGCCTCGCTGATCTAGATGCTTTATGTACAGAGTATATTACATTGTGCTACTTGAATATGATTTATTGTGCTTATTTACATATGATATGTAGTCCACATGAAAAGAATTAGTCTTCAAATAAAACTGATAAAATACATTAAAGTAAAACCAAAATATTTTGGAAACATAAAAAAATAAGCCATATTTTACCTCAAATTTAACATGTGGCTGTTTCTCCTTTGGAACCTCCTGCAACACGTTTCCTGAGCCCAACTATAAATTACTATAAATCTGAACTGATAAATGGGAATCTGTGAATGATAGCTCTCTGTAAACTCTCACATTAAATTCATTTTGTGGCCAGCATGAGAACATTTCAGCAATTATATTGAAATAAAAGTCCTTTGGATATAAAAATATCTATAGCAATAAAGCATTTGAAGGGGCATTTTTTTTAAATAAACCTATATCAAGATAAGTATTTAGTAAGTTTGTTATATTTGTTTTAATAATGTGTGCTCTGAAATAATAAAAGAATAACAAATATTTTTAATCATTTCAAAACCCAAATTATTTCAACTTTAAGAATATTAAAGCTCAAAACCAATAAAATAATTTATGTCAGATTTCTATTAGTTCTTTTTTCAAATATATTGATGTTCTTTGAAGGTTTTTTTGTTACTTACACACAAGACAGATATTTAAGGACACCCAGAATATCATCCAACAGAAACTACATTTACATGTCGTTATAGGAGCCTTTTTTTCTGCACATGTAGTTGCAGTATTTCATTTCATTGTTGTTCTCACTGTTTAATATTAAGTGTATTGCTTTTGTCTAGGGATTTGTTGATTGACATGTTTTGGTCACAGATTTAGATTCTATTTGTTTAACGTTAAGTATCTGCAGATTTTCTATAAAGCATAAAGTTCTATAATGCTTAAAGTTAATGCCATCTCATTGATCAATTCCTCTGGAGTCCTACAGCTGTCTGAAGTCTTTTAAAGGACCAACTATCATCCTCTCAGTATCTTCTGTTACTATGTTATAATGTGCAAGATGTTTCTAAATATCATTAAGAGTGGAGTGTAACTTAAGTTCATGTTTGTGAAAGGAGACGAGAAAATACTTTTGAGAATATAACATATCAAGAGTTAAGTGCAGCCAACTACTTTAATGTGATCATTCAAAAATCTCAATATTGGAGCATACTCGCTATTTTTATGTTTGTTTTTGATGAAATGTCTCTTCAGATGACCCAGCACACTTGCTGAACGAACTGTGGCAAAAAGAAAATAATTAGTTTGACAAAGACTTTTTTTTGATAAATACAAAAACTTTTACCAGCTGATTGTCATTATTTTAAACCACATAATTTAAATTGGACTTTAATGTTTCCATTATAATTTCAATAAAAAGGTGAAGTAACTTTATTTATCTAGTATTGTAGCAGTTTTTCTTTTAGTTTTTTTTATTAAAGATCACTGCTATCCTAATTTCTGTAGCTGCTTTGCAATACATTCCCTTGCTTCTGCTAACTTAAATACAAGAGTAATGGCTAATCTTTAATAAATCACAAGTTGCATCTTTTTGTTAGAAACCCAAAGACTTCATTAGTAACTGTAAACAAGAACTACATATATCAGCTCTTTCATCAGACCGATCATCAATAACTATTGATTAGCTTGTCAACAGAAACTGTTGACAAGCTAATCAATAGCTCAAGCCTTGAACCGTGTTGGGAGAGTTAGAAAACACCACTAGTACAGCCTTTCCTGGCTGTATGGTACTGTCAAACCAAGTGAGGCTTTAATTATACCATGATTTATTGTTCAGTGTGAGTAAGGTGGAATTTTTTGTTTTTGTTTATGTGAATATGATGACTGTGTTTTACAGTTTTACTCAGTTCTACCAACCCTTTGCTTTTTCTCTTTCCCTTATTCCTCACAACTGGCTGTTAATTTACATCCAGGCAGCTTTGTAAAAACTAGAGCAATGTGCTGCTGCTTGGTGCTCTTGGGGCACATTTGCAACATAACCTGTCTCTAAGAAGGGGAATTAATTTATATGCTGATGAAATTGTGCCTCCTTCTGGCTCAAGAGTCTCCAAATGTTACCTAAAAGTAAAGTAATCAGCCCAGCTGTTTGGGCCACTCTGGCAGCAGAAATCTCAGGGAGTATTTATGGTGAGAGCTCTGTTAGAACTGCATGAATTATTGATGAGTCCCGATGCAGATTTATCTTTGACCTCCAGGCCACCTGGGTACAAACACACACGTACACACCACCACACTCATACAATCACGCAGTAAATCAGTGTTTGTCTTTGTTGGATCAGAAATGTTGCTTTGTAATTTTTTTCAGTCAAAAGGACGGCTGATTACAGTCCGTGCAATCCATTAGCCATCAGTAACACCAGGTGCAACCAGTAATGATTTCAGCTGTTTGATCAGTTAGCTTTGTTGTTTTGGTCCAATGCTGATGCAGTCTGCAAGTTATTGCACATACATACAGTATATACTTGGTCTAAACTACATAGAAACACAAACTGTACATACTACATTTACCAAGAACCTTTGCAACTGCCTTTTTTGATAATTATTTCTTTCTTTTAACTTTCAACATTACGTCATGAAGTGTCCTCCTCAAAGTTGATTTTGTTTGAAAAAATCCATGATGGAAAAACAGTAACTGATCCTTGGCCGTGTGCTTGCTTGCTCCCTCCACGCTTCCCTCCAAAATTCAGGCTCAAAGGCGGTACTTTCTCAGCAGGTCGGTCTGCCACACATACTGCCTTCCAGGAAACCTCTCTGGGATCTTGATCTTGTGGAAGTCTTGAATGCATTTTTGCAGCTCCTCCTGAACCGTTGGCTTTTCTTTTACCGGCCGTTTCTTGCAGCCACTGGTGTCTCGCGAGCTGGCTGTAAGAGTGCGCAGCAAGTCACTCTTTCGTCGCTGGTCAGACTGCTGAATCATGCTAACTGGGCCTTTCTTAGGTGGCCTGTCGAGGGTCTGGACCTTGGCATGAGGGTGCGACTGACGGCTGACTGGACCTCTGATGACTGTTCCCTGGGGAGAGCTGGTCTCCGACTGGCTCTCCGAGCTGGAGGTTGAAAGCTCGTTGAATGAAGTGCCACTCTCACCTTCCCCATCACCCTTGTGGTTTTTGCAGCAGCAGTCACATGGAGGAGAAGACCAGCGTGATGGACCACCTGTGGAGACAAGACAAGCAGAACAGGAGATAATATTAGATTCCACAGAGAGCTTCTTTTTTCCCTCACTTTTTCCTTTCTTTGTAGATCAATCTGCTTGAAGAAAAAAAACTTGACAATAGGACAAAGGAAGACACAAATTATTTAGAAAGGAAAAGAAAGACAAAGTAAGAAGTCATAGGGAAGACAAAGATTTGTAGTCAGCTGGTGCCAAATAGTTATTATCTAGAACAAAGTGACATGGCATCAGGAACAACTGAGTTTCCACCGCTCTAATCCTAAAAGTGAAGAGGGCCAACGTGTGACATTCCTGCATTTGTTAATCCTGCATTGCACGAGCCACTTACATCCACAAAGAGCTAAAAACTTTTTTAAAATTGAAAGCAAAAGTTCAAAATGTATATATGTACATGTAAAGTACTGTGAAAAAGTATCTGCTCTCTCAAATATTTCTTCTAAATGCAAAAATGTGTTTTCAAAAAGATAATGTTTGACCTGTGGTGGTTCAGCAAAATGTAGTCAAGGTGGATTTATTCAGAGCTGCATGCTACATTTGCACCGACACCCATTACACAGTGAGACAAAGATGCTGGTTTTTATTTACACAAACCTAACATAAAACAATAAATGGTACCATAAATATTTACATGCACGCAAATCATTAGAACTAAACTAATCTAAGGTCAAACAAAGAATAAATTTAACTGAATATGACTCCTCAGAACATTACTCCTCTTAAATGACATGCTCATGCTCTAGGAGCTTTTCAGCAGCACCTGAAACATTTGTCTCCCTTTCCCGCACCACCGTGGCTGAGACAGTGAAATATTTCTGATCTTTTTAGAGACCTAAAGCACCCAATGACCACAGAAAACATCCTAAGCAAGTCAGAGTGCCAAGCAAGAAAACATTTGAGTTCCTCTGTGTTGAAGAGATCGAGGCATCTGTCCAGTAGTTGTGGTCTCAGTCAGTAATGAAACAAAAGCACCCATCCACCTATCACCAAGAGGAAATCGTCACCTTTACTAAGATCTGCTGTAAACGCAGATCTGGTGCAGATCTGGTGCAGATCTGGTGCCTTAAACATTCAGGCACCAGTGCAGCACCACACCTCTGACTACAGGAAGCAACCATTCATTTTTCATTCTAACCTCCTGAATAATTGAGAGTGTATCTGTTGCTGATGGACTCTTCGCTGTTTAGTGAGGGTAGATCAAAACCCTGGAGGCAAACACCCTCCATGCTCCACCCTAACCGATGATTGTAGGCGCTGCTTCACTTCATCTTTATTCCCACACATTTATAGTCTGACAGATTCTGGCTGCCATGCATCTTCTACTAATTGGGTAGAATATTGGCTTACTTTTTGTTTTTCCTGTATTACTAAGCATTTAAATAACTTTATGGAAAATAAAACTCTCCCTGCTTTTAATTTTCTGTATTCTCTGAAGCATATTTGGATTGTTAATAGCTGTGGCGCCTGCATAATAGACAAATATTTGCTCCTCAGAGTCTTACTCATAAACAGCCACTATAGCTACATTTATGAGTATAAATAGGTGGATTTTGTGGACAGCTTAACACTGGGTACAGATCCCATACGCATACACACACACATATTCTTACACACTGTGCCTTCTGTGTTCAAAGTAAACCTCACCCATCAAAGCTACTGACAGAAATAGAACACAACCCCCTTTTTCAACCATACCAGCTCTGGATCTCCTTAATTACTGTTGGCATTTACACATCTCAGCTCCTGCAGACACAAACACACATTAGTGTGCACGCCTTCATACAAAGGGAGTGGTGCTTCCCAGTCTGGGGTCCATGCCCTCCCCTTAGGGGGCATCGATGATCACAGGGGGTGCGTGAAGCTTTGATAGTCCTGAGGTTAAAACGTCACAGTAAAATTTCAATATTATAATTAAAACCTCATAAAATATTTGGTGATTTAACAAGAGTTTTTATTTGAATAAAAAGAAAACATAAAAAGCTACTTTTTCAAAGTAGAGACTGATAATGACTACCCAATAAAATTACAAGTATTGCAATTTTAAAGCTAAAATTCTAAACATATTTAGAAACCACACCAATAAGAACAGAAGTTTCAAACGCTTTGTCACAGACTCTTCCTTGCAAACACAAGTGGGATTGAGAGAAAATGAAGTTAGCAAAAACCACATAGTGTGAAATGTAGTTTGGAAAAACTTTAGAAATCTGTCTAATTGCTAAGTTTAAGTCATGGTTAAGATTTACAAGCTTTTCTCTCACCACTTAAGAATTAGATAAATCCTGCTCCAAATAAGAAAATTTTTTCCAGATATTTAGGTTAAGTTTGACCCATTTAAATGTTTATGTAAGCACAAGTAGAAATTATCCACTTCAAGTATATCTGTAATTATTCATAATGCATAAAACTTTAAAGACAACAGAACCAGCCATCACTTTCTGATCACACTCTTTAAACAGTCTAAACAGAAGTTGATATATAAAACCAACCTGACAAGTAGAATGTGCAAAACCTAACAAATAAAGATGTTGATAAACTACTTGTCAGCTTTGAGCAGCTACAACTGATAGCAAATAATGATTTTGTAACTATTTTAATCAATGTGAATCTTTAATCATTTGGTATCTTGTCTTTTGTGTTGCTTCACCAGTAACCAGTTTGGTTATTTTTTTTGCACAACTGCCATTAAAACTTTATTCATTTAAAGCCTGAAGGAACATTTCTATCTTCTGTACTTCAAACGGCAAACTATAAAGCAAATAAAAACCTCGGGTTCTGCTGGTAAAATACAACAGTGTGAATAGTTGCCTGCAACTATGTGTTAGAACTACAGAATGTAAGGAGAATTATAATGACTGTTAGAATCTCAAAAAACAACTTAAACCCTTGTAATGGAATGGGGAATGTTTGACAAACAGAAATTACACAGTTACACATATAAAAGTGTATGTACAGCAATTGTCAAATTAGCAATACTTTAACCTGTAAAATTCTTTGCAGAAATTAGTTTATGTAGTGGCCCTCCTCTCATTTTCCTGGGATTACTTTTCCATATGTTTGTATATGTTAAATATAATTTTAATGTATTTTTAATTATGTATTACTTTTACCACTGATAAAGATACAATCACACTTTGGCAATAGTTCATTTATCAAGACCAAACATTTCTTTACAACATATAGAGTTTGATGCAAAAAGTATTTGGTGTGAATATGTTAGAAGTATTATGTGTGTGACTGAAATATTAACACTACAACTACAACTATGATGACTGCTACTGTTACTACTAATTTTCTGTTTTTGCATAATTATCTTTGTTCCTCGGTGCAACCTTGGTGCCATAATTTAATCTCCCAAACATATTCATGAAATATTTACAAGACATTTTTACAAAAGTGCAATAATAAAACTATCACATTTATTTCATGGAACTGCAAGTAAATAACTAGCATAACTAATCAAAGTAGCATAATATAGAACAGCTAAATAGCACACTCAGAACAAAAACTGCCTCCCCAGCAAACATTCACCCTTTATCATGAGAGCAACAAGTGGAAACAAGGGAATTTAGAGAGCTGGAAGCCATTGAGATCAATAATGCAATCGGTTAGAGTAAAATTTGCAGCCTGCACTCTTCTAAAAATGCATGACCTGTATGAAACAACGCAATCATCCAGGTCCAAGAAACAGAATTATGGCAATGAGAATCTCCTTCAAGGCCGTGTTTAGGAACACAAGTTAATTCATGTTGCTCTGAGCGAACAGTGAGTCCGCTGATCGATGAGATGCAGACACATAACCAGTGGTTTGAAAAATGGGCCCCGTCTCTGGAGAGTCAGCTTCAAGACAATCAGCTTGTCCACATAAAATGAACCTTGTGGCAAACACTGTTATAACAAATGTCTCAACACGCCTTGTCCTGAGCAAGAGTCTGTGGAGCCTTGTGTCTGTAAGGTTGATATATGATTTTGTGACTACACTCTGGCATTTGGTAATTATATCTACCTCCTTCTAATTCTTCAAATCCACTTTAATTCACAGGCTTCCAGTATAAAGACTGCTAGCAAGGAGTTACATTTGTAATTCCTTTCACTTTTTATTCCTATGAAATCCAAAACTCCATGACGATCTTATATGTAAAAAAGGAGGAAAGAAACAATTTACAGCAAATGGAGAAGCTAAGCACTGATAATTGAGATCTGTGAAATAAGTGAGTGGTGTCTCTATAGTTTCACAGTAATACCCTAATTACGTTCACAAAAAAGGAGAGTTAAATATGTAGTGTTGATGAGTGAGCCAACGCACACCAAGTAATGGCAATGGTGATTTTTTTTTTTTTTTTGCTAAATGAAGTGAAGAATGAAACTGTAAATGTGCAGATGAACATTTTCTCATTGGGATTAACACTGAATGGTTTTGTGGTCATGCTAATGGAAAGGGAGGATGTAACTATAAAGTTTGTTCTTCTTGCTTTCCTTAATGTTCATGTTACTTGAAGACATTATCATTATCTTGCATAACTAAGTTTAATGACCATCTATGTAAATTAGGTACAAAGGAAATGGACTCACATGTGAAATGATACTCAAATCATATATGAAGCAAAAATATAACATAGATAGTACTAATATGACTTCAAAGTAAACATTTTCAGTTGGTATTATTTTCACCATCACCTTAAGATTTGAAAGCTCACACATCCTCAGTCTAGAATTTTGAAATACAAACACTTTTTTAAAGTGTCAACATTTACCTTGTTTTAGGTTTCTTCTTCAAAGGTCAATGTTTTAAAGTGCAACATGGACTGTTCAGATTGGAGATATTTGTAATTGTCTCTTGTTTTGTTAAACTTAGTCATTTAAATTGCAGAAAGTTCATACATTGTTATTCACACTATTTATTGTGTGAATAACTATAAATAACTATAAATATAAGTAATACATAATTTAAAAAGGCACTGCAATGATCATATGCAGTGCCTCCCTA